GGAAGTGGCGCTGTGACTCAAGTGGTAGAGCGCTAGCCTTGAGCTGAAGAGCTGAGGGACAGTGCCCAGGCCCAGAGTTCAGGCCCCATGACTGGCCCCCCCCCAAAAAAAAAAAAAGAAAAAGCTTGCGAGACCAGGCCTCGACCAATAAGATGCTGACCAGAGTGATACATGTGTGTTACCCCAGCTACAAACGCACTGCTAGAAAAGAGAGGAGGAGAGGGGGAGGGAGAGGAGGGAATGAGGAAGGAAGGAAGTCGGTTGTTGGATGTGTGAGTGAAGGTAGGATTGTTTGAGGCCAGCCTGGACTATATAATAGCAAGACCCTACCTCAAAAAAATCTAGCCGGGCGCCAGTGGCTTGCGCCTGTAATCCTAGCTACTCAGGAGGCTGAGATCTGAGGATTGCAGTTCAAAGCCAGCCTGGGCAGGAAAGTCCGTGAGACTCTTATCTCCAATAAACCACTAAAAAACTGGAAGTGGCGCTGTAGCTCAAGCAGTAGAGCACTCACATTGAACTGAAGAGCGCAGGGACAGTGCCCAAGCCCACAGTTGAAGCCCTATAACCAGAAAAAAAAAAATCTATGAGCCGATGCTGGTGGCTCAGGCCTGTAATCCTAGCTACTCAGAAGGCTGAGATCTGAGGATCATAGTGCAAAGCCAGCCTCGGCAGGAAAGTCCATGAGACTCTTATCTCCAGTTAACCACCAGAAAACCAGAAGTAGCACTGTGGCTCAAGCGGTAGAGCGCTCACCTTGAGCTAAAGAGCGCAGGGATAGCGCCCAGGCCCTGAATTCAAGCCCTAGTACTGGCTCATGTGCGTGCATGTACACACACACACACCGCGTGGCCACGCACCTCCATGGGTCCTGGCAGGGGCTGTGTTGGGTGCTGAGGGGGGGGATGAGCCTCCCCATCCTGGATCACCCCAGGGTCGCCCAGCCCCACACACGCCTCGACCTAGCTCGGACTTCTGCGCCAACACCAGGCTTTGCCCGCCAGAGGAGGAGTGGCTAACTTGAGAAGTGGCTCTGGCTTTTCAGCAATTCCCTCCAGACTAACTTCCGGGCTCACAGGCTGAGAGGTGAGCCGGGCCTCCAATCCAGGCACTGGGCCACCTCCAGTCTCTATCCTGTGGAGAGAGACCCCAGGCCCAGCCTCCAGCCAGGCTTCCCATTATGCGGCAGTTACCAGGAGCTCCTCAGCTCCCGCAGGACAGGGTGGGGTGTGTGGGACTGGCCTCACCTCCAGCCGGAGGCGGGACTGCGCTAGCTGCCACTTATTCCTGAGCTCAAACAAGCACTGTCCTGTTAACACACACCCCCCCCTAATCTGGGCTGATGAGGCTGTCTGCTTCCAGGGAGAGAGGGAGGGCTGAGCCACCAAGAGGAAAACACTTGTGAGAGAGAGCAGCACAGGTGGCGGAAGGCGGTGTCTGTGCTCAGCCACAAGTGGGTTTTCAGGGGTGCATAAGAGTTTGCCAAGTGCCAGCCCAAGAACATGCCCCAGCATTCTCAGGGAGCTGTCCGGGGATGGAGGAGGAGGGAGGGGGGAGCAGGTGCATGTGTTCCCTGGGGTGCACGTGGCAGAGAGGACTGGGGCTGCCCGCTCCCCAGGAGAAAAGGGTGCACACGCCGGTGTGGCTGCAGCTCTGGGGAAGGTTCGCACAGATCCTGTCTCAGACCTGGCAGTGCCGGCCTGCGTAGGCTGGTAGAGACGCGTGCAGCTTCCTCCAAAGCAGAGCTGCCATGGTGGCAGGCGGTGGCAGCCCCTGCTGCCTCTCCCCTCACCCTCCCCGCCCCCACAGGGGCTGGCACACAGCTGTTGCTCAATAAACACTTCTAGCGTAAGTTGGGGAATGTCCAGGCTGAGGCCCACAGAGGCCACGCTGGCGCTCAGAGACACACAGCATGCACGCTGGCGCTCAGACACACAGCACGCTCGCAACTCACATGGGCAGAGCATCAGGCGTGTGGATCCAGACCAGGACATCGCCTGCAGCATTGGCTTCGTCCTCATCTCTGTCTCCAGTTACCAGCCTGGAGACTCTGCCCCCGTGCGTGCAGCGCAGTGCAGTGCCGGCTGCTCACTCCAGTGTGCTCAAGCCCCACTGGGCAGGTGACCTGCACCAGACACGAGCAGCCGGGCGGGGAGCAAGGGAGGCAGGACCTCACCTCTGCCAGCAGACCATGGCTGAGTCTGTTACAAGGAGGAAGGGGACAGAGCGCTGGAGGCTCACGCCTGCCATCCCAGCTACTCAGGAGGCTGAGGTCACAGTCGTAACCAGCCTGGGCAGAAAAGCCAGTCGTATCACCAATTACCCAGCAAAAAGCTGGAACCGAAGGTGTGGCTCAAGTAGTAGAGCACTAGCCTTGAGTGGAAGGAACTAAGGGACGGTGCCAAGGTCCTGGATTCAAGCTCCAATTCTGGCAAATGTACAAAAAAAAAAAGGAAGGGGCCAGGAGCCAGTGGCTCACGCCTGTCATCCTAGCTACTCAGGAGGCTGAGATCTGAGGAGCACGGTTCAAAGCCAGCCCAGGAGGGGGCTGGGAAGGTCGCTCAGTGGTAGAGTGCTTGTCTCGCATGCATGAGGCCCTGAGTTCAATTCCTCAGCAACACATAAGCAGAAAAAGCTGGAAGTGGCGCTGTGGCTCAGGTGGTAGAGCACTAGCCTTGAGCTGAAGAGCTGAGGGACAGCGCCCAGGCCCAGAGTTCAGGCCCCGTGACCAACAACAACAACAACAAAAAAGCCAGCCCAGGCAGGAAAGTCCGAGAGACTCATCTCCAATTAACCACTAGAAAACCGGAAGTGGCACCATGGCTCAATGAGCACTCAGGGTCGGTGCCCAGGCCCAAAAGCCCTACACTGACAAAAAAGGTAGGACCACGGAAGGGGAGCGAAGTTCAGCCAGAGCCCGGGGGTCCATGAATACCGAGTGGGGCCCAAGCCGAAGTCTCAGCTAACGGGAGGCAGAGGTGGGAGAATTGTGGTCCTGGCGCAAACTCCAAATCCTATCTGAAAAAAATAACGCCCAAAGGCCTGGGGGTATGGCTCAGGCCCAGTGCCGGCGCCGCAGGGCCTCGGGCAGATGTGGGAAATGGGGGTCAGTGGGAGAGTGGCCTCCCCGGAGGAGGACCTGTGCCCCAGGGGCCCTGGTCCCCCCACAGGCCACCCCACCCCGCGCCAGTCTCTGGGCGCAGCCGGGTCCGCCCAGGAGGCCACGGTGGACAGGAAGCTCTGAGGAGTCAGGGCTTTCCAGCTTGGGACCCCATTTCAGCCTGGGCGCCCTCCCCCACCTGCCGGGTTCAGGGGAGAGCCCTCCGGGGACGAAGTCTGCCTGGCCTTTCCCCCTGGTCACTGCTGCCAAGTCCCTGGGCCCAGCAGGACCCCCCTTGGGGAGCCACCAGACCAGACCAGGGCTCAGCCTCAGCTCCCTGCACTCCCACCCCAGGTACAAAGACTACCGGGAGCCGCCATGGTCTGAGCACAAGTATGACGTCTCCAAGGACTTCTGGGCCGTGCTGGCCGCTCGGCTGGCTTTCGTCATCGTCTTCCAGGTGTGTGGGGCGTCCCTTGGGAGCCGCTCGGCAGGGCCGCAGGGCCCTGTGCCCCTGAGGCCGGGGCTGCACCGCTGGGGTCTCCGGGAGGGCACCCCACCCCGGCCTTGTGCCTGACCTGACCTAAGAGACCTTCAGGGAAGAAGGCAAGAAAGGGGCTTTGGGCTCCTTTATTGGGAGGCGCCTGAGGGAGGGGAGCCCCTGCCCCTGTGCCCCGCGTGGAGAATGGGGCCAGTCCACGCAGGCAGCCAGCCCTCCCCCCCCCCCGTGACCCAGCCCGCGGGGGCCCTAGGAACGGACACGGCTGAATTCTGTGGAGCAGCTGTGCCCCAGGGGGTCTGAGGGAGGGAGCCCCTGAAAACCGTGGCTGCTGCAAGGCCCCCCCACCCCCGTGCTCAGGGACTCTGGACACCGCCCCCTCCCCTCCAGCCCATAGGCTGGGGCAGAGTGCGGGGGCGGGGCTCTGCAGGGTGAGGAAGGCATACAGGAGGGGCGGGCACTCAGGTGGAGACCGGACCGGAACACTCAGAAGCAGGTACGCAGGTAGGTCCGGTATGCACAGATAGGAAGGAGCAGGCTCACAGGAGGGGATGGGTACACGCAGGGAAGGCAGGTATACCGCTAGGAGCAGGCTCACAGGTGTATCAGGTGTGGATCCCTCCCCCACTCTGTCCCCCGCCCTCTCTGGCAGAACCTGGTGATGTTCATGAGCGACTTTGTGGACTGGGTGATCCCGGACATCCCCAAGGACATCAGCCAGCAGATCCACAAGGAGAAGGTGCTGATGGTGGAGCTGTTCATGCGGGAGGAGCAGGGCAAGCAGCAGCTGCTGGACACGTGGATGGAGAAGGATTGCCAGAAAGAGGCTTCCTGCAACAACCACACACCCAAGGCCAGCCCCGGGGCGCCCGGCCCCAACTACCGCGGGGATGCGCTGTAGCTGCGGCCAGGCAGGGCCGCACAGCGGGGGGGGGGCGGCCGCACAGGGCATGGCCCCAGGCCCCTGTGCGCTCTGCAAACGCCACGACTATTCCCTGAGAGGACTCTTTTCTCTTTATTTTTTTTCTTGTTTTTGCACAAAACCATTATGCAGGGAAATTTTTTTATCTTTAGTATCCAAGGTGAATGGAAAGGGCGGCTGTGGTGAGCGCCGCGGGGGAGACGCGGAGTCTCTTCCGTGGGAAGGGGCTAAGACCCCAGAAACCCTCCTTGCTCTGATGCCTTAAGATAGACCCGGAGAAGCCCAGTGTGCAGACTCGAGGACCGGGACTGGCAGGAACGGAGACGCCGAGACGGAGTGAAAGGCGATGGTAATAAGGGTGATTTTTAAAAGTGAAGAGAATAAACGAGAAGGAAGAAAAGGTGATTAAAAGTCATTCTGAATGACGTCACCTGCCCATAGGTAGGAAGAACAAACCAGACAGCTTTGAGTCGTCTGTCTCTTCCTTCCTAAGTCCAGAAGCCAAGCTGTCCCGGGTAGAAGATGACATGGAGCCGTCCATGGGGAGAGCTTGAAATGATCCTTTTTTTGTCTTGGAGAAGGAAGGGGGCCTTTGTCCTTGATGAGCCAGTGCCTGGGTCCCTGGAAGGTCAGATCAGCTGACCTCAGAGTCACCATTCCCCCCCTGTGGGAAAAGATGGGGTGACAGGAAGCAGAGGGGGAGGGGACCCCTAGGAGGCCATCCCTAAAGGTTTAAGGGTTTCACTAAGCCCCAGCACTTCTGTGGGTCTGTTCGAAGCTTTAACCTATTTATTGGTTGTTTAAAACAAAAATCAGTGGTGTGGTGGATTTGAGGATTTTTTTTTCTTAGTTCAGGGTGGAAGGAATTTATTAGTCAACTAGATACCATTGACAGGAATTTCAGATACTGTTACTACCAAAGATTTTTCTTAATAAAGGCTTCTATTTTGCTACTGCTCTTCTATATTCTATGGATGCTCTTCTGTCTTCTTCCTCACAGACAGTTTCTGTAGGGCACTTGGCATTTTTAACGCTTGATGAAACAAGTCTCATCTGAGGTCTAGATTGGCAGAGGGGTGCTAAGCGATCCTCGGATTGGGAAGCTGTGTCTCCCCGGGGCCCGTGCTGGGGAGACAGCCCGGTGTGTGTCACGGTGACATGTGTCATGGTGTGCCATTCCTGGGCTTGTCCACTGGGACCCAAGCCCTCAGCTGCCACACGGCTCTTCCCCTACTCAGATCCCACGGTTCCCTGCTCCCCTGCCTCCTGTAGTCAGTCATTTCTGACAAAGTTTTGTATATAAATGTATCAACAAGAGTAGGTGATTACCAAAAATCCTTTTATGAAGACCATTTTTTTAAAAGAGAAAAGCAGAATGTACAACAACTCCACAGAAGACTGTGGCTCAACATTCATCTAAATAAATTTGAATACACAATGCTCTCTGCCCTTGACTTTTGTCCAGGAAAACTCAATAGCCCGTCCACCACCACCACCACCACCACCCCCCCCCGTGCCGGGTCATGGGCGTGGTCTGCACTGTGTGCTGGGTGGTGACCAAGGGGGGGGAACCTGCTAGGCCCAGGGAGCATCCTGGGCCTCATCTCCCCCAAGTGTGTTCCTGTGTGTGCACGTGTATGTACATGCTTGTGTTGGCTCCTGTGTGTGCTATTTCTGTGCCTACTGTGTGAGTGGATGGCTGTGGATTTCAAGTGTTAGTGTATAAAACACATGTACATTTGCTTGTGTGTGCACACGGGCATGGGTACTGTGTTTGCATGTTGGTGTATGTGCTGTGTGTGCCTTTGTGTTTGCATGGCTTTGTGGACCTGCCTCTGCTGTGTGTGCACACGTGTGTATTATGTGCTTGTGTACAGTTGCATGTGCACACATAAAAGTGTCCGTGTGTGCGTGTGTGTGTGTGTGTGCTCTCCCCAGTGACTCACTCTGCCAGGAAACTGGCTGGGAAGGAGCACCTGGCATAGCGCCAGGCTCAGGAGCACTGAATGAATAAGTGAAGGATGGACAGCTGGTGATGGGTGGTGGAGGATGGATGATTGTTGAGTGGATGGATGATAGATGTTTGATGGGTGGGTGGATGGATGATGAAGGATGGATGATGGATAGATGGCTTTGAACTATGATCCTCAGATCTCAGCTCCTGAGTAGCTAGGATTACAGGTGTGAGCCACTGGCATGGGGCTTTCTGCCTTCACTTTTAATGGCACTGTACCTACATACCATAAGGTACAGTAGCTCACCCTCCACCAAGATACAGCTCCTCCAAGCCTCTGTCCCCTCACACAGAGGTCCTTTTCAGCACTCCGAACCCACCCTACCATAGAAACCCAGCTGCCTGTCTCCTCCTATTGGTGGCTGCCGCCCTCTGCTGGTGTCCTGGAGCGCTGCACTTGTGTCCCTGGGCACAGAGACCGTCCTTGTGCAGTACCTGCTGCGCTGCAGGTCAATGGGTGATGGGACCCCACTGGGCTGGGCTCACAGCTTGGCCAGCTTGCCCTTCTGCAGGCCAGGATAGAAGCCACCTTCGCCGGCGACAGGAGTTCCTGCCTGGTCTTCCAGGGGCAACAAATGGGCCAGGTTTCCAAGTGGCCATCTCCCTAGGTCTCCTTCACAGTACTCAGAAGTGGATGGAGTCCACTCCCATAAGCTAAGAGGGTCTCTCCTCCCAGGCCGCCATCGGTAGCACATCCATAAGTCTCCTTGGCTGTGCAGTGGGGCAGCCACGCAGCCGCTGGGCCTGGACAAGGCCTCTGCTGCAGTGTCACACGCTGGGGGTAGGATTGCACATACTGGAGATGGTGTTTGACAGTCCATCTGATCCAGAAGGACACGCCTTCTTTGAAAGAGGGAAGGAGGGGAGGGAGGGAAGGAAGGTGGGAGAGAGAGAGGGAGGGAGGAGGGAAGGAGAGAACGGGAGGAAAGAAAAAAGAGAGTGAGAGTGTAGGAAGAGTCCGCAGGGAAAGGAGAGAGACCAAACCAAAGGAATGAAAGAGTGACCCAGGAAATGCTGAGGCCATAGAAGAAGCAAAAGAAGACAGAGCAATTCCCCCACGCCTGCCATCCCAACTGCCCAGGAGGCTGAGCTCTGAGGATCGCGGCTCGAAGCCAGCCCGGACAGGAAAGTCTGAGACTCTAACTACCAAAAGGGCAGGCGGTGGCGGTGTGGCTGCAAGGACAGAGCGCTAGCCTTGAGCCAAGCTCAGGGACGGCGCTCAGGCCTTGAGTTCAAACCCCAGGGCCGGCACACAGGCGCGCGCGCATGCGCACACTTGCCACCTATTTGCCAATGTTGCTGTCTATCGTTATTACGCGATTGGCACACGCGGGACTGGCGGCTACCATCTCAGGCCCGCACCAACCCTGCACACAGTAGGGCCGCGGGAGGGGCTGGCTGCAGGATACGGAGCTCGGGGTTCCGGAGCGCGACCGCAGGACGCATGCGCAGCAGTGGCCGTGCCCCGGTCCGGGCGGAAACCGCTACGCCCGCCCGCGGGGCGCATGCGCAGGCCGCCAGGTTCTCGCGAGACGCCGGGCAGGAAGGCCCGCGGCGACTTCCGGTGGCGGGTGCGGGCCGGTACCGCCGCCATGGACCCGTTCCTGGTGCTGCTGCACTCGGTGTCGACCGGCCTGTCGAGCGCCGAGCTGACGGAGCTGAAGTTCCTGTGCCTCGGGCGCGTGGGCAAGCGGAAGCTGGAGCGCGTGCAGAGCGGCCTGGACCTCTTCACCGTGCTGCTGGAGCAGAGCGACCTGGAGCCCGGGCGCCTGGGCCTGCTGCGCGAGCTGCTCGGCTCGCTGCGCCGCCACGACCTGCTGCGGCGCCTGGACGA